GCTGTTCAAACAGTGAAAAAAGCGTTAAAATGAGAAGTAAACAGCAGGCTTATACTCACGTAGTGAAGAGTACGTGAAACCAGGCACTTTCCCGTGGTAGAAAGCAAGGCTACGGCGGGAAAGCCGTACTGGTACGCGCGTCATGACGTCACCGGAAGTGATCTTCACTAACTGCCGCCGTACTGCAGCCTAGCCCTACCATATCTTAACGTCCCTATATTAGCAGTTCGGACCGGTTTTAGAGGCCGTTGCCGCTCTAGAGAGGTTAAAATAAGAGCGAATGCATGGACTTTCCGTCGGGACCAAGAAAAGTGACCATTGTAGAGAGGTGGCCGTTAGTGGATGTTCGACTGTACACGGCAGCAATTCTTAGTCACTCAATTTCTCGAATGCTGTTGACAGTTGTCATACCTCCCAACTCAAATACGCGTTTCGATTGGAGGAGAACACGTCACGTATCGCGGGTCAAAACTCACCAACACCCTAGGGGAGCAGAATTCACTAAACATTTCGCACCAAATTCAGCTGGTTTGAATTCGAGGGTCAATAAGCAAGGACAAAATAGCCTCAATTTTCAATGCCACATTGTGTGCACTGCTCTTGCAAACTTGCCCCTGCTACAACAAAATCTTATGCCTCAGTCTCCTTCATGTGCAGAAGCTTGCGTTNAGAAAAAAGCGTTAAAATGAGAAGTAAACAGCAGGCTTATACTCACGTAGTGAAGAGTACGTGAGAGTGAAGAGTACGTAGCAAGGCTACGGTGGGAAAGCCGTACTGGCACGCGCCTCATGACGTCACCGGAAGCGATCTTCACTAACTGCCGCCGTACTACAACCTAGCCCTACCATNTAGCAAGGCTACGGCGGGAAAGCCGTACTGGTACGCGCCTCATGACGTCACCGGAAGCGATCTTCACTAACTGCCGCCGTACTACAACCTAGCCCTACCATATCTTAACGTCCCTATTTTAGCAGTTTGGACCGGTTTTAGAGGCCGTTGCCGCTCTAGAGAGGTTAAAATAAGAGCGAATGTATGGACTTTCCGTCGGGACCAAGAAAAGTGACCATTGTAGAGAGGTGGCCGTTAGTGGATGGTCGACTGTACATGGCAGCAATTCTGAGCCACTCAATTTCTCGAATGCTGTTGACAGTTGTTATACCTCCCAACTCAAATACGCGTTCCGATTGGAGGAGAACACGTCACGTGTCGTGGGTCAAAACTCACAAACTCCCTAGGGGAGCAGAATTCACTAAACATTTGTCCCAGAACATGTCGCACGAAATTCAGCTGGTTTGAATTCGAGGGTCAAGAAGCAAGGACAAAATAGCCTCAATTTTCAATGCCACATTGTGTGCACTGCTCTTGCAAACTTGCCCCTGCTACAACAAAATCTTATGCCTCAGTCTCCTTCATGTGCAGAAGCTTGTGTTGTTCCTGCAATCTTCAGTGTTTTGCTTGATTCTCAATCGTTTAATCATATTATTTTTATCACATTTGGTTTAAAAAAGTATGGATCACGTCTCTGTGATATGCAAATTAGCTATGAAATGGTATCTAATGCGCATGTGTACCAGCTGACTGTGTCCCTCTGACTATACAATACTTACATGAGCAGTTGCGTCGTTTGTTCCAATAATTCGGTCTTCTGATAGATTACTAAATTTTACCCAAGTGTCCTCACTAAAGGAATGTCTATACGAGAAAAACAAAAAAGAAACATCAACGACTGATTATGAGCGTAACGACTAAGGCTCCGTCCGCAATACGCCGAAGGAGCTTTATTTCTCCAGTTAGGCCTACCGTCCACACTAATCTGTCACGAAAACGGAGCTTTTCGAAAACGTTCTACAAACCGTAGGAATTTTCCCGATTGATATATAAAAATACTCAAGACAATGGGCACTTTCCACTCGATAGAGGATTCTGGTTTGGATTTCCGGAGACGAATGAAACAGCACTTTCCCGAATTTCGGAAAAAAGAGGACTACCACGCGAGTTGATCTCAAATTTTAGGAATTTTTTTTTTCCCGGGATTTTTCCCCGGAATTTTCGGTTGAATGGTTCGCATTTCGGAAATTTAACAATTTCCGGATTTTCTGGAAACTTTCCAAGGAAACTTTCGTACCATCTCTTCCTCGTTTCCAAATGTTTGGTTGAATGGAAAGCGCCCAAGCGCCGGAAACTGGAATCGGTTGCCAGCGAGGGAAACCTGGAAGCAGTTACAAGCTACCGGTTGCAAGGGCGGGAAAACGTGATTTGCTAAATGTGTAGGAAAACGTGTAACCGGTTATAAGGGCGGGAAGTCAAGTAATTACTTGATCTGACTACACTCACACGAGAAATTCATTGTGAAAAGTTTATTGAGGATGCGTCAGTCAGCCATCCTAATGTTTACCTCACAAATTTAACTAATGGTTCCAAGAATTAGAACCTGTACTACGCCAAATACGAAAAACCACTAAAAAGCCACCCTTTATATGTGGCCAAAAATATGTGGGAACGTATTCCTCATGTAATGCAGCAGCACGAGTCCCAAAGGAAAGGGTAGTCTACAATTATTTACACAAGTTGATCAAATTGAAACATAATCATAAAAAATAAAGTGGGCGAACACTACGACTGACCGACTTAACATGACTTAAATCTCCCGCCAAAACCTTAAATAGTCCCTAAGCATCCCACGATGCACCGCGAGTCTCTCCAACGTGCCGTCAGAATAATACCCTCCGACTAATTCGTCCCTCCATCGTCAGAAATTGCATCTTTTGAGGGAAAACATATAACCGGCTGCAAACGCGGGAAACCATGCAAGCGGTTTACGTGCAGGAAAATATTAGCTACAGGCGCATGTTCGGGGAAGTTTATGATATGCTCTAGCGTTAAAAGAACTGAGCAAAGACATTATAAAGTAAATCAAGAACGTAAAAAACCTCAACTAGAGTTTGATAATACTCTGAAAAAGGTTTTGAATGCCCAAAACTTACTTCATTTCGAAGACGTCTCCAAACGTCCAAAGAGCGCATGGAGGCAAGGCAGATGACGAGGAGGTTAACAACAGTTCACGGTCCTGGAAGTCGAGTAAGACACACTGTTAAGTACACATACACAAGCTATGGAGAGACAATGGAGGACTTCACAAGGAGAGAGGGGCTCTTTTGCGATTTTTAATCACTTTGCAACGCTTGAAGGAAAAAAAAAAACGCGTTACTAATGTCCAAACTTACTTCACCTCCGAAGCCTCCTTTTCAGAGGGAAAACTGAGGCTGAAATTCATGTTTATCTTTCCCAACCTTAGCCATTTTAAGAGTCTCCATGATGCTCATCTAACACTGTTTTTTCAAACTAGGCCATTACTTCTTATATCTTTTTTTTTTTTTT